TCTGCCAGCACCTCCTCATTTGCTTGCTCCCTCAAGGCCTCTGCTTTAGCCACATGGAACTAGAATTCTCTGAACCTCCAGATCTTTCCACCTACATCTCACTGCCTGGAATTTTCAACAGCCACTGCCCACCATACACACACCCGTGCCTGCCTGGTTATTCTTCTCATCTTTGTGATTCTACACACTCAAGTATCTCCTCTTCTGTGTCACATCCTCCAAGACTCTCCTTTCTTAGCCTGTCCGCCTCCCCATGAACAGAAAAAACTTACCACTGCCTCTTAGTGACATTAATATAACTTAAATGTAATGTTACAAGTGGCAAAATGTTTTATAATCACTTGTTTATGTGAACGACTCTCCAGTCAGCATGTGAGCTGCATGAGGATGGAGTATGTGTTCTGAGTCCCTGTCATCAGGCATTAGATCCTGATTCATAGAGAAGGAGTACTATAGTTATTAAATGAATGAATGAATAAATGAAAGACAAAAAAAAAAATAGCTTTACCTGACATTGGAATATAATGGGGTGAGGTGCTACATATCCAAAAGATAAGTAATTAACTTATTTGTATCAGAAATCAAGCTTTCCTTGCATCCCTCCAGAATTTATTATTGCTTTGGGGACAGTACTATAATGATAAAAACAACAGTTACCATTTTTTAGCCCCTGTTAGGAGGTGAGTATCCTCATAAGGCTTCCACATCTGTAACAAGGATCTATGGATTTGTCTGTGCTGTGCCTCTCTTCTTCTGGAAGGGCACCACCTCCTGCTTCCCTCCACCCTCACCCACCCTGGGTACACAAAAATATCTCTTCTTTTGAAAACTTGCTCCCACTACTTCAACCTTGTTCTTCTAACCGGGTGCCAATTATACAACCCAGACCATGGGGATGTGTGACCACATCCAGGTCCATAAGTATTCTTTGTGATTTTTAAAATTGAAACTAAGAGAAAACAATAAAAAGAATAATTTTAGTCAAAATGTAGAACATGAAGAAACAAGAGACATTGTTCCACGTCCTGGGGTTCCAGCTGTCACTTAAGCCAGAGCACCCTCCCTCCCTCACTTAACCCGGAGTTTGCTTATAGAAAGTGAGATTCTATCACTTGCAAAAAAACTATCCATTTTCCAACAAAAGCAACATCCATTTCCTCATTTAATCCTCCCAACAACTATGGGCAGTGGATAGTATCTTTATTTTATAGAGAAGGAACCAGAAGCTCAGAATAGAGAAGAAGCATACCCAAGGCATCCAATTAGTAGCTGAGCTGTGATTCAAAGATGGGTCATTCAGAGGCCAAAATGCAATCACTCAACTTTCCTGCCTCCTTCTACACTGCATCCTGAACACCAGTTTGAACTCAGTGACCCTAGACAATATGCAGTAAGTGTAAGTCTTCTTTTCATTAATAAACATAGATGTTATTGATCTTGATTAACTCCTGGGGGTGTTACAGACTTCAATTTAATAACCTAAAGTGCTCTGAGAATATAAATAGGCATTGTTTTTTAGACCACACTATTAAAACATTTGTCTCTTGCAATGTCAATAACTGGAAAGCAGAAAAACAGCACTTTTAAAAAAGGAATCTAAAAAAAATCTGTGTATAAATATTTGGTACCAGCCATTTAACTGAAACTTAATATGTTTGCTTTAGATACCAAAATATAATTGGTATTTCAGAAGTGAGTTTCCTCAAAAGACAAAGCATTTCTAGAAAATTGAATCTTCCTACTTTAGAAAATCTACAGGTAGATTTTTAATTGAGTACTTCTTTGGTCTCAGTACTTGCTTATAGATCTAACATGCCCATGATCTTCCAGGTCAATTACCAACACAAGTCTGAGAAGAACCATGAACTTGGGAATGGAGAAAAGCAGACACATACAAACCAAAGGAAGATGGATTTTTATATGAAACTAATTTTCCTCAGAAGAAAAATAGATATCTCCTTCAACATAAGGGTGCACTCAGATTTGTTTTTCATGTTGTAACTTACTTAATATGGCAACGGGCAAAAGGCAATCCATTAAAAAGCAATTTTCCTCTTACCACAGGGTGTTTCATCATTTGATGTCTAGCATTCAATCAGAATGTAGCAATCCTTTAATATTTTATGAGCAGAAAACAACTCATTTGGGCATATGGACTTCAGAAACGTGGGACTCTTTTGTAAGCCTTGCAAAATGTCCACAATGGCCTTTGCAGTGGGTGGTGAGCAACAGGTCAACCTGAGAACTTAATCTATCAAAACATTGGAAAATTATGCTTTACAACAGATAACGGGCATTTAAATATATATATAATGACTTATAACTAATAGGAAAAAGTATCAGTTCCAATTCATTCTTATACTTTCTCAGGTAGAAGCTTCTGGGGGACAGGGACCATATCTGTACCTGCAGTGCCCATCATAGTCCCTGGCACATTGTAAGTAATTAATAGATTTTTATTAAACAAATGAATGAATGCATTTGTCATCTTAGATGAAGGGAACCTGGCATGAGTATGTCAGGCCCCGGCTGTTCAAGCCCAACCTCACTGCAGAGACCAGGCCTGACCAGGAGCTGAGTTGTGGCAGAATGCTAGAAGATTTTTCTGCAGCAGAAAGTGAGATATGGAATAATACGTAGTGCAAGAACAGCCCCTAGGGCACTCACAGGGATCCCCAAGGTATTTGCCTTCATCCCCACTCTGTTATCTCAGCCCATAGGAATGCAGTTCTGTCCTGGTTCCTGGCTTGACTACCAGGTCCTCAAAAGTCTGAGAGGGCTGCTCTGCACCAGCCAAAGTTCAGCCTCTATTCTGTACCCACCCTTCTCCCTTGAAACACAGAGCTGACATTCACCTGAGCAGCTCTGTCTGCTCAGACTCCTGCCACCATAGTCCCTTTCCGCCCACCAGATGGGACCCCACCGACACAGAGGAGAGTCCAAATCAGATGCACATTTACCCTGCCTGCACATGGCCTGGAATTTGGCCATCTTTCCCAAGTTAGTCCCCCCAGGTTAGATATTATGTGTTCCCGGGATGCTCCTCTCACTCCTACCACTGCAATTTCAGTCATTGAGGTTACCTGCAATCAAGACAAAATGAACACGACTACTCAAATCATCACCCAAAATACCACCAATCTATTTCTGGGGAAAATGTGGGGATGTAAGAGCACAGTGAAGTTTGTGAATACATCATCCAAAGACATGAAGGTCGTTAAGTGACAGAGACAGAACCCAGCTCCCCTTTATTCCCAACCTTCTTCTTCTACTCCACCACATCTCTGTTCTGTGTTAACATTTAGCATGACAGACACATGTCCACTGGGCAAAGGAGAACAGCAGGAAGCTGGGTATGGCAGCCAAAGCAGAAAAGAGTGTACCTTCTGCTGCCATCCAGGTGAGAGCTGATAGCCAAAGAAGGCCACTGGGGAAGATGAAAATGGAGGAGGGGCAAGAAAAGGGCCATGTGGGGCAATAAACTGGACACAAAGTACCAGCCAAGTACAGCATGACTGTTCTCCAGTTTCTGAAAATCTTAGATGGTCTTGCAATGCTTTTTAGCAAGTGACTTTCTACAGTTTCCCCCACAAAATTGAGCTATATATGAAATAGTCACAGTTATCAGACTGAGGAATTCAGTAGGATTTGTTTGATGCAGGACTTCAATCCTTCAGCTGAAGAAGCAGTAAGCTATACAGCAGACATAAATCGCAACCAGTTAGTCTAATGAGGAGAAGGAAGGATAACTCACATCAAGGATCCAGGTAAACTGAAACATTAACACTGGAGATCAGGGAACCCGAGTAGAGTGACACAGAAACCTCTCAGGTCAGGATGCAACTCTACTAACGCAAAAAAGCCCTCATGTAATAACTTCATAAGTAATGAACTTTCACGGGAGCTCCACGTCAACTTCAGCTTCTTTCCCCCACCCACCCACACTGGAGGACGACAACATCTGCTGTGCTTTGTCACACAGTCTCAAATTCTTAGTTTTTTCCTTACTAAGTTCTAAATTTTCTAGTTTATCTTAGCAGTTATCTGCAGTCAGTTCTACATTGTAAATAAAACATACCCCCGTTTCCAATTTAATCATTGGATTTCTTCCCATTAATCATTTCAGACCATTATTTTAAGCTCTAAAGCAGGTGACTGAATATTTATGCTTTCACAATAATACCAAACATCTAACATTTCTCTGGTATAAACAGTCTTCTCTGGCGCCCGAGTTATTAAGCCTGTAAGGGAAGATTTATATCTGTGTCGGCTCTATAGATGTTGGAAGGAATAGAAGGCAGCCGCTTTAAGAGGGATCATTGTTGACAATGATTGCAGACCAGGTTGAATCAGACTCATCTTAACAGGTTAAAACAAAATTATGCGAACGGATAAAAAGCAAGAAAATTATCATGCCCTCTTTTTCTGGTGTCCTCTCCTAAATTTTGTAATCTAAGTAAGAAAAAGAATAATGAGCATATCTCTGACCACATTTTTCTTGATCAGCTACCCATTTTCTTCAATAATTCCTTCTTTCTTAGCGAAAGTATTCTAAACAAGTTCGATACTTGGAGCAAGAGGATTTCATTAAAGTATTCAATTTTTCTTTCTATGGAAAAATTGTTTCTAAAGGAAGAAAAGAAAATGGTCTACTGGTAGGTTAAAAACTGGAATTTTAAAAAGGAAACTCATAGATCTTTTCTCCTAAAAAGAATATTAAATGCAAGCCTGTTTTAATATACACTCATTTTTATAGTATTTGAAAATCAGTCACAGTACCTGCAAATTTTTCCTTTCTTGTAGATTTTAATAACATTTGTTCCCAGAGCAGACATGCAGAAATACATACATTGGAAACCTGAGCCAAACAGTGTTTGGGCCACGGTGATGCCCATGCATGGCTGTCAGTACCTTGGGAATTCTTCGTGCAGGTCAGGACAGAACCTGGAAGCCAGGTCTCTGCCAAGCTTCATACCCATGTGGGAAACCAGTGTACTTACGCAGCTCGCCCACTTTCAAGATCTCACACAGCATCTTGGTCAGCTCTATACTACTTCGGCCAAAGGGACATTCGTGCTTATCTTCTCGGCTACTGTTCTCAAGTACAATCTGCAAGTGGGAAAGGAAACAGGTCAGAAAGGGAAGTCAGTTTGCAGAAAATGTCAAAAATGTTGGTTCCATTGTAATAAGGAACTAGATCCACTCCAGATCACCGAGCTAATGCTCTTGAGGCCAGAAGAAAATGGTACTCTAAGTATATTTTCAGTATGTAGGACCTAAAACTCTCATGTTTTCCAAATCTCCTAAAACCTTTCTCGATCCTGTAAGAGGATATTTTGCTTGTTGGTTTCCACTCACATGGAGGTGCCTATGGAGAGTTTTTCAAAACAGTACAAGAAAGACTTTTTGCTTAAGTGAGAAAACCCCTTTCTTGTCCTCCTAGTCATATCTTCCCTTTCCTGGAACTAGCAACTCTTCTTCTGTGACTTCAACTCCTACATTTTCATCACATATTTCCCACAGAAGTTTCCACATTCTTACAAGATCTCACCCCTTGCATTAGTTGACTGGACCACGTCTAAGAGACATGTGACACAAAATGGCCCAGTGTCCTCCCCTTTTCCCCTTATCATACGAAAAGGGGAAAACTGGCCCCACTATACTGACAGCACCCAAGGGGTGTGAGCTTGGGAGCTACCTGAACGTAAGCCTACAATATAAAAATAAAAAAGGAAAGAAAAGTAAGCCAAAATGCAAAGGAAAAAAAAGAGGAGAGGCAGTGGGGCCTCTGGGGGCATTTGAGTGGCTGGTCCCACTTGGTCCTGAGGCAAGGCTACTTCCCTGTCCTAATGGTTTGTTTGCTCAACGCTTCCTCTGAAAACCTCTTGGTCTGTCTAATAAATTCTCCTCTTTCCTTAAGCTCGCTTGAGACGTCCCTACCACAACTAAGGGAGCCATTCTATACACATGGATTAACAAAAGTAAAACAAAACAACAAAACTCTATTTTAAAGTTTCTAAACTTCAAATTCATACGTCAGCAAAGGAATGATTCCTGAGGAGGCTGCTTGTCCCACAAAAGAACTAGCTCATCCAATTCTGAAGCTGCCTCTGAGTCCCCAGTGGAGTCATCTGCTGCCTCCCCAAGGGCTACACCGCCCTGAGTTGGTGTCTCTCATCAGCACCAACTCATGTTGTTTCTCCCTCCAGACTATGAACAATTCAGCAGCAGGAATGGTGTTTTATTCACTCAATCAATAATAGTAATTGAGCACCTATTATCTACCAGGAAGATGCCTTGGCCCCACAAAGTTAAGAACAAGAGAGACCAGGGCTCTGACCTCACAGAGCGTTCCTTCTAATTGAGAGAGACAGATAAAACAAAAGAGGTAGTTATAGTTTATCACAAGTGCCATGAAAAAAAAATTTCCTGGTTGAGGTGCTAAAGAGTAATGGGGAAGGCCTGAGGAGGAGAGTTTAGATAACCAGGGACTACTGAAAATCAAAGGATAAGAAAGAGTTTGCCTGTCAAGTTCTGGGAGCAAAGCATTCCAGGTAAAGGGAAAGGACAGAGCCCGTGAGTTGAGTAGGATGTGTTTCGGGCAGGCCAGCACACAGCTTGGTCTACACTGTGGAGGGGTCTGGAGTTGTGCAGGCAGCAGTTTGGGTTCCAGGGGCCCGAGAGGGGCAGAGCGAGCCAAGGGAGCATAGAGGTGGGCCAGCCACTGCCCCAAGGCTATGTGGGGTGTCATTCTAAGACCCTAAGATGTTAACCATGAGGTTTAGACAGGCCAGTGACACGACCTTTTTTGTTTTGAAAAGATCTAGAAGTATGCAGAATGGATAGTAGCGAGTAAGAGAGAAAGCACAGTCCTTCTGGAGGCCCCAGCAGAGTCCCTGGCAGAGACCAGGCGGCTCAGACTGGGCCTGTGTAGTGGACTCAGCACAAGGTAGGAGGTCAAAAAAGGCAAGCAGGAGCAGACAAGGAATGAAGAGGACAAGGAGGGGGAGGAAGAGAGATAAGAGGAAGAATATTCGGAAGGAGGGAAGAAAAAAGAGAGAGAGAAGAAAAAGGAGAAGAAGGGAAAGTAAACGGAAGTGCTGTTTTATTGATACAGACAGGGTTCCGAATAGTGAAGTAATGGAGCTCCATATAGGGTGAATTATTTACAACCAAAGGAGCAGGATTTTAATAAAAATGTGTTTCCATTATTTTCTGCACAAACCATAACACACACATGTATACACACATTATTATATGCATTGACAGGACCCTAGTAACAAATCACCTGCTTCCAACTGGAGATGCTCCTCCAGCACTGCGTTTACACCTAACCATAACCACAAGGTAAACAGTTTGCATATTCAACCTCCTTACACTTCAGGCATCATGGGCAGTTTTCTCAGTCTTCATCATTCTCACCTTCTCACCACCATGACTGTCTAAGAAGTAGATGAACCATCTCACTTTGTGGGACTTCTCAACCATTTGCAACATATGCTCACATGAATAATGATGCATTGAATATCATCATGAACACAGCCTTTACTGTTCTTATAATTTATGATAATAATTCTTCCTTACAGTCTCTTTGGGGAAAACATGTTCTGGGTTGGCTGTTTTTTCTCTGAGAAAGCTGAAAGTAAACTCTAACTAAATCCTTTCTCCTGCCAAGCAGGGAAGGACCACTGCTGAAGTCCTTGAAAGGCTCCTTCCCTCTTCATGGTCTTCTCTGGGTAATCTGCCTGAGCAGGAGAGTCTCATTAGGCTGAGCCTGAATAACTCTCTTCCTTTTAGGAGAATTCTTTCTGGTTCTTACCGGGAATTCCAGTTCAGGAAAGCAGGAGGGGAGAACAGTTAAACTCCCATCAATCAATGAATTTTTCTTTCTCTTTTAAAAGTTTTGTACCTGAGACAGCCAGATCAAAGAGCAAATCTGAATCTCCTGATGATGGGGAAATGAAGAGAAAAACAGAGCAAGAAGATAGAACATAAAGAAAAGACAGGAGGCGGGTAGTTTTCAGCCAGCTCCCAGCTCCCAGTGAGGACGTTCCCCTGTGCTTCACATTAACATTCTATTAACATTTCATGAGCACGTCAATATTTAATGAGGATGTGATCTGCATACACTGTAGGTAGAATTACTGCAGCCAATAAACGTTCCGGAAACATTTCCAAGGCACAGTTTATTAGCAGGCACTAAATTAAGGAGTAATTTAAGTAATTAATATGTAAATCAGCTTGGAGAAGCCCTTCTCTTTATTCTTGAATGTACCATCCATCTCATCACATTTACCCACCTAAAGAAAAAGGAACCCTCCTTACTGACTGATTTCTTCAGACAAGGCAGACACAAATCCTAGAGTTACCTGTGTGGGCTTCAAAGTCAACATTCTTACAGAAATATCTAGAAAAGACTATGATTATGAATGTTAGTAATAAGATATTACTATAGTCAGAGATAACTCTTAAACTTGCCAGTAGCTTTTGTTTCAAATTTCACATACTGATATATCTATATTCAGTTTCAACATTCTGGTATTAACCATGTTCATCTGAGACATTTTGAAATATCAAGTCATATTTTTCATCTTTATTTTCTCCCTACTCTTCAGTTTTAAGAGCAAACATACCAGAACAGAAGCCACAATGGATGGCGGACTAAAACCTGCCACTATCACTCATCTTAGAACACTTCATACACCAAAAGATGCAACTGTCTGCACATTTTATAGAACACTGGATATTTGTGCAATATTAAGTATAAAACATTTTATAAAATACTTTAAGTTTACAGAGTATATTTACATATTTTCTATCAACTGATCCTGACAAGTCCATCAGATTGATGAGACAGGTGTTATTATTCTCTTAAGAATGTTGAAACAAGAGGAAGATGTGACTTGCTTAGATCATAGAGCTAGCCTAGGTCAATCCTGGAATTCAATTTTTAAGGTCTTCAATTTCCAAATGTCTTCCTGCCTCATTATAGCTTACAAATTGCCTTCACATACCTATTGCCATGAAACTCGATGAATTTCATATATAAAGAGGCTAGGGAGACTTTGATCAATTTCCTCTATCTCACTAAAGTGGGTCTATAAATCCCAGCCCCTCCCAGACAAAGGTATAAGGTTTTCTCTTATCTCATTTATCGCTGAAGATGACTAACAATCACTCAGAGTCACCAAAGCTGCTGTGGAATATCCCCATGGGCGTTATTTCCATACATTTTGAGTTCCCCTCTGAATGTTCTGTATTTCTTCTCCTTCTTCTCTAGTGGTGTAGATCACAAACCTGTTTGGCTTGGGTGTGACCATTAAGTGCTGAGTACAAAGCCAGCCGCAGTCTAGTACCCACCCCTTCTCTGGCTCTTGGGTCCACCTTGCCCTCTTAGCCTCAGCATCACGTTGCTGACTTATATTCAGCTGGTTATCCCTGACACACTTCCCTCCACTTTCTGTTGACCTCTCCTCATCTGGGGCGAGTGCAATCCATTCTGCTTTCCCTGTAGCCAGCCCTGGAGCGAGCCTTGAGGGCTTCCTCCATCACCTCTTTTCTATGGAGGCTTCTTTTTCATGCTGCTTCAACTCTAACTGAGGGTCGGATGAAACACAGCGGTCTCCTCACAGGCCACCATGGACAGTTTGTGAACCCATACTGTGTTCTCTCCAAAAAGAAGGGATTGTGTATCTTGCCCCAATTCTGATACAAAGTTGCTACTGGAAGCAAAGACAATATAGAAAGCCTGGGCAAAATTAGTGTAAGCTTGTGCAAGTCATTCTATCTCTTTGTGAGATGTACAGAAGTTCCATAACACCCACTTTATAGGACTGTTGTGCATATTAAGTCATAAAACAAAGGCAAAGTGCCTAAAACCAACTTGACAGAGTTGGTGTTTATCATCTCCTTAATGCCCTCCCTCTTCCTATTCCCATGCGGCCCTTGGCCAACACATCACACAACACTTTTATCAGCAAATAAACCAAAATCATGACAGCAGTGAGACTGGCTCTCTGAGGACAGGTCTCTGGGGACGTGAAAGTAGGCCAGAGGCTCTCCCATCGTTTTAGCATGAAAAGATATAAATAAAATAGTGTCATCACCTA